ATGTGTCTTGAATGATGTTAAATCACGACTTTCTTCTTCTAAAGGTATTTCCCAGTAACCTTTCAAGACATCTAAACAGGTGATAATATTCGCGTGTCCAATTTTATTGATTAGATCAGTCACATTCTCCATTGGAAAATCAACAGGCTTGGTTACTTGATTCAACAACCTGAAATCAATACATAAACGCATACTTCCGTCTTTCTTGGCAACACATACGACTGGGTATGCTATTTCAGCTTCACTTGGCTCAATAAGACCCAAGCTCTCCAATTCCTCGATCTGTTTATCTACTTCAGGTTTCAAAGATTCTGGGATCTTATAGATATATGGCTTTTTTCTTTCAGCTCCAGGTAACAACCGAATTCTATGTTCACCAACGCTGGCTATTTGGATCTCCCCAGAAAATAACGCGATGTGCTTGAGTAAGAGCTCGTGTAATTCCTTTTGTTTGCTATCCCTCTAAATGACTAATATCCACCTCGATGTTCCTTCTAGTTACTGCGCAATCTCCTTTATTTGGAGTTGGTATGAATTTCCCCAAACTCAGAATCATCTTCAAATATCACTCCCACAGTTTGTGCTCGAACATAAAATTTTCTTATTTTGTTCACATGAACATGCCTCACACTCCCATCGGGTAATTTAACTTTGTAAGAATGAGGATTCACTCTTTCAACAATTTCACCTGGACCTGTCCACCTAGCATATAGCTTGTTGCTAGAGTCTGGTATAAGTAAATATACTAGATCACCATTTTTAAATTCTTTCAAACTTTTGCGACGGTTAAAATAATATGCATAAGCTTCTTGTTTTTCCGCGGCAGATAAAGAAGCGAGCTCAGATGCTTTCTCTAAATTTATCTTTAATTCTTGTAGATAATCAACTGCTGAATTACTCAGATTAAGAGGTAATGGTATTTCACCGGACCATGATGATTTTAACACAGCTAAGGGACCTCTAGCTTCACGACCGTACATAAGCATAAATGGAGATACACCGGTAGTGCAATTTGGAACTTCACGATACGCAAAAAGTAAATAAGGTATGTGCTTGTCCCCAATTAACAGGATCTGTGCGAATTACATGATGTAACATTTGTTTAAATACCCGATTCCATTTTTCCACTGAGCCGTTTGATGCTGGGTAACCAGGTGTCGAAAAACGAGGATGAGTTCCTAACCTTTTTTCGAATTCTTGAGTTAATTGTGAGGTAAAATTAGTGCCTTGATCACTACAAATTATTTCTGGAATACCGGTTCTCATAAAAATATCTAAAAGAGCCTCACAAGTAGCTTTAGCAGAAAGACTTTTTAAAGGTATGACTTCTGGCCATTTTGAATGATTATCTATCAAACACAAACAATATTTATGTTTTCCTTCCTGAAGGAGGTGAAATTTCACCAATAATATCTATATTTACTGTATGAAAGGGATATGGCGCGCGAACAATAGGAGTAATCGGAATTTTATCCGATTGTCTTTCCGGACTTTTTAATTGACATCTTTCGCATGTTCTACAATAATTTTCTACATCTTTGGATATGTTCGGCCAATAAAATGAAAGCTTAATTCTTTCTTTAGTTTTCCTCATACCTAAATGATTTCCGAATATGGAATCATGAGCTAATTGAAGGACTTTATTTCGATAATTCTCGGGCAAAACTAACTGTTGTATGTTTTTCCCCACAAATTTTTTCTTTATGAAATAATAATTCGTCCTGTAAAAAGAAATTATTCTTCCCTACTTCTGCGTCCTTAAAAGAATTTATTAACGTTTGGCAGTTTCTCTGATCGACCTTAAATTTATTCGATTCCGAATAACTGTTTAGTCTTTCATCATTCTGATTCGCAACTGAGCTATAAAAAAGATTTACATTTGACAGTTCAACGGCGCCAACCTCAAGTTGTTTTTGTTCATGAGTTTCCTGTTTCGTTTCAGGGAAGACTGTTGATTCATTCTCGTCTTCAAATATGCGATCCCATACATCTGGTGTAATTAAACATTGAACATTTAGCTTATCTGTCAACGCGAAAAGAGCTTCTACGCGCGAATATAGACAACTGTTTGGTTTTTTGTAATAAATGGGAATAGTTGCTAACGTTGCCTCTATGACGTCGCCAAATGCGGAACTTAAAATGATTTTACCCTTACTTTCTATTTTTAAATCAGGAATTAATGTAGTGTTCAAAATTGGTATTTCCGTACCTGAATCTTTTATAGCTTCTACTTGCTTCCCTGCAATGTAAATAGTAATCTTTTCCAAGGAATAAAAATTAAGTTTTCCGTCGGAACACTCGGGTTTTTGTAAATGTTTAGAATTTACATTTGTAACAACCGCATTGTCCTTCGGTTTACTTGAAGTGTTAACTTTTGGTTTGACCGGGAAATTATCGTTCTGTTTATTGGACCTCTCAAATTTATTTCGCCTGTTCGGGCAATCCTTAGCCAAATGTAAACTGCTACTACACACGTAACATTCTCGCGGTTTAAACGAATGTTTCTGTTCATTTACCACTAAATCTTTTCTTAGCGCTGGTGGAATATATTTAGAGTTTTTGTTGTATGAATCACGAAAATTAGCGCGTTTTTCACCTCTTATGTCATCAAAAGATTTACCTTTTGCGATGAAATAAGTGTCGCATTCCTTCGCTAGTTCTTCTGGACGTAGCCAACTTTCACCTTGTCGAACTGCAACATGGCACGCTAAATCACTATCCAATGTTTGAAAAAGTTTGTCAGAAATTATTAAGTTAATTAAAGACTCAAAATCATTGACGTTTCTACTTTTACAATAATGGATCCAACATGATCTTAAACGAGAGGCGAACTGCAAATGAGTTTCCCCCAGTCAACCTTTGAGCTTGGCGAAAATTTTTCTAAACATATAATTGGCGATGGTTCATATTCCTTAAGAATTAAAGATTTAATTTTTTCATAATCTTTCAAATCATCATCTTTAATATATACTAGAATATTAGAAGATTTATCACCTATCAGTTTAAGTAAAATTTCAGACTTAAACTCATTTGGTACGTTCTTATGCTTAAAAGCCCTTTCTATGGAATCAAAAAATAAGTTCCATGCTTCACCCTTTTTAGGTACAGAAATCGATAATGCCTGTACAGCTTTCAAAAGCTTATCTAATGAAAGTGTATTTTCTACGTTATTACTAGATTCGTTGCTACTTTCGATTTGCATTAACGCAATTTCACAATTTCTTCTGACTTTTTCCTTTCTTCAACCGTAGTATTAAGAAATTCAATAACAAAATCTTTATCTTTCAAATATTCTTTAGAACTTAAAAGCTTATCTTTTAATTCTACAACTTTTAAACTAGAATCGGCTTCTTCACTTAGTTCCTTCAACACCGAAATCAAATCACTTTTAACTACTCCTTTAAACATATTTAGAAGAAATTTTTCTTAAAGTTACAACAAAAATTTCTCACCTTTTCTCCAAAATCCAGTCGGCTTCGTTAGCTCTGGTTCTCGAAAGAGAGCGTGCTGTAATGACCTTACGGATGAATAAGGCACCATAAGGAAAACGACACCAACATTTATTAAAAATTAACTTTCAAAGAATAATGGTAAAAAAATTAACATTTAAAGAATAATGGCAAACTCGGAACACTACCTCGCTCCTACAACATAATTAACCTACCACCTGCCTCCTCTGAGGCTAACATGCAACTGTTGTCTCTCTCACTTGCTGGGCTCTGCCAGGCAGCTGATTGGCTCACCGCTGCCAGATACATGACACTCCTCCTTTGCGCTTCGGAGAGGTTCGTTGGCTATTTCTTTGATTGGCCAAAACTTATGAACGCATGTTTCTGAGCTTTCGGATTGAGAGATTAGTCCGCAATGCTGATTTAAACTTTCAGTTTCAATAACACAAATGGCAATAAACTCGAAAATTGAATTTTGGAGGAAGGATGTACTAGGCGATTTTATCTTTAGCTCTTTTGCTACTTCGAAAAACAGCTCAGCACCCAATATGAGGTCGATCTTTCCCGGCTTGTCAAAATCTGAGTCCGCTAAGTATGTAGAGTCATTAGGTTAATTGGAAGCAGAAATGATAAAAAATATGCAACCGCCTTCGCCGGGAATCGAACTACGGACCTCTGGAATACCGGCCCAGCGTGCTACCGTTACACAACAAAGGCACGCTAGGGAAGTGGGAGAAATACCTTATAAGTATATGTGCTCTGGTATATTAAGATTTTCTACATTTCATGTGATAGCTGGTACAAGGTCTGTTATTTTATATACAATCAAAAAATCTGCAAATGTTGATAAAGAATTTTCGTTGGTAATAAGCGTCTCAGATTTTAATTTAACATTTGTCACATTTCCACCCTAGCTATCACCAGGCATTTTTATTACTTTCTCAACTGCACGTTATTTGCAAAACCGAAAATTACAAAGTCCGCTTTACTACGCGAGTTTAACAAACAACGTCCTTTACTACAGCATACATTTTGGGGGGTTACATACACAAACTATAGCAGTTGCCAAGAGAAAAGTTTTATTTTTGTACTCATCTCGAGTCAAAGAATGTTGCGATTTCGTAACTTTAATTCTGTTGGAAATTTTTTAACCGGAAGTACTGCTGGCTCCTGAGGATAATTAGTAAGTGAATATTCCGAAAACTAAAAATGTGATTCATTGATGCGACACGTGTTCCGATTGCGATGCAAAAACGAATTATGTTTACTCTTACAAAAACTACATGTATATTTAGAAGTACAAAAATTATATTTGTGCGACATATCTAAACAGTTTCAACACAGTTTATGATTTTTTATAACATCTAATCTTTCTATAGGTTTCATTTCTAAAAATAACGAACATTTATATAATGGATGAACGTTTTTACAAAGCACACACTTAGATGAATCTAATTCCACACTAAAATTCTGATTCTTAACACGGTTTGGATTAACATTATTTTTTTAACAAGTAAACCCACTTTCATGCATATTTTCCACGTTCTGACATCAATTTTCTAAATAATTTATGAGAGATCTCCAGTTTGGCAGATCTGTTGACTTTAAAGACATTTCAGACTGACGTCTTGACTCTTTATCTAAATTTTCTAGCATTAAATTCATCAACATTATTTCAGTTAACTGGTTAGGTTCAAAAATCATTAATTTTACTGCGCGTAGATGCTTGTGCACTCTGTCAATTAAGATTCTTAATTCCTTTGGTGATTCGTGATTAATTTTATGTATCGATAAAAGTTCGGTAATGCCACTATTGACTATTAATCGCTTATTTCCAAATCTGACTATAACCGTTTTCCACAGAGATCCATAAGTATCATCTGTAGTTTCAATCTCCTTTGCCTTACCAATTAGAGCCGACTGCAAATAATATATAGTTTTTGCGACTTAGTTTTTTAAAAAGAAACTATTTTTAGTAGTTTTCTTTTAATTTAGGCAAAGGAATTGCTGGCAGTTTAACTGAATTTTGTTTATTTAATACTACAACATTACTATTCCAATGTTCTGGCTTCAATGGCTTTGTATTCGTGTCCAGTTCCTTTAAAAAATGCCTACGACTTACCTCAATTTTTTCGAGGACAACCTTCACCACCGAGAAGATAGTTTCGTGCTCTTCACAATCTTCTTCCTTTAAAACACCATAAAATTAACATTTAAGTTGTTCAAGTTTTTTGGATAAAATCTAAGCTTCTTCATTTAGTGAACCTTGGTTCCTAGTAAAAATTTGTTGATATTTAATACCTTCTTGAAAGAAAAATATTATAGCTGGTTGCCGCCCCCCCACAACAAATAGTGACTGCTATGAACTGGAAAGTACACAAAGTCTTGAGAAGGGTTTAAATCCCTTTTTATTCAACTTTAGAAATTACAGATGCGTGCTCTTGACGCTCACAAACTACGCCGACCCGGCGGTAAAATAAAAATAAGAAACTAAAAATGAATAATAACAAGTGACTACCTACGAGGCTCTCTAAACGTAACTAACCTAACCGCGTTCTAAGATACCGCTGATAATTCAGCAAACTTCTGAATATTACGTTGAAAGATTCAACTATCTGCCGAGGCAAGCACACAGGCCGAAACGCGTGGTTCTTCAATTTCTACCTAGCCACCTCCACGCTCGTGAAGCAAGAAAGCACACTTTCGAACTCGTTTCCCTTCTATTTAACTCAGATTACTTCCGCTGACAATTTGAATACTTTGCGCGTTCTACTAAAATTTACATACTCTGGCATTGGCAATTCCAGGGGAAAGTAAGGCTTGACAGGAAAGATAGTTTAAACTTAAAATAAATGTTAGTTAAAATAAATATAAACCCTACATTTGCCGCTGCCAGAATTTGGTAAACTTGGAAGCAGGTCCTAGAAACGACCTGTTGAAAAGTTTCCACAATTCTGAACTAAAAAGAGCCTCGTTTACATAAAAAAAACTGTTTTCTCACAAAAGTTAGAATAAATTTCTGTAGATACTTATTTAACCCTCTCTTCTTACAGCAACCTTTCCTGGACTTCAGCAATCAATCTGTTCTCTTCCTTCCAGCATCTGGAAGGAATAAGTATCAGTATCTTTCTAAATACATTATAATTTACACTTTCTTGACACTGAATAAGTTTTTTGTTTTCGATTTTATTTTTCCTTAGTTACTGCTTAATTCACATTCATTCAAGTATTCAAACATGAATTTAACTTTACCCTGGCTCTCCACCATGTGTGGTGTCAAACGGGAATATTCGTGTTTTAGTATTGCAACACTTCCCCTAACCACAATGATTTGTTAGAATTCAACGACCAAATAGACACACCTTACTCGACATTCTAAAACTCGATGAGCTATTTTAACATTCTTAAAATTCAAGTGTAGGTGGAGAACCCTACAAAACACATTCATTCTAAATTCCCCCTCATTCATCTTTAGACATGCAGGCTTTCGCTCTAAAGCATGATTTTATCTACAGTTTAATACTTAAATTTGAATTCATTTCTTTTGAGCATTTACTTTTAGCATCTAAAATTTTATGCTTCTAGACTAAATTCTACTTTTACATAACTTTCAAGTATTTACGTATATTTACAAAATTCTAAATACATATGATTTTTACAATTTACCATAAAATGAATAAGAGAAAAATAAATTTTTACTTCACGCATTCTTCGCCAAGCTGGCGGCACTGAAACTAAATTTCTTATTAATACAAGAATACGAAGTTATTTTATTCTTCGGCCAAATTTTGGCTTTAACATAACAGAATTAGTCTTTCGACCAACAGAAACTGCTTGTTCTTAGATTTTATACTTAAAGAAAATAATACTTTTGCCTTAGCTAAATAAAGTAAAACAAAAAACTAAGTCTCAACCGAGACAAATTGACTTCCGTCAAAACATAGAACTTCGTATTTACGCATAACATTTCGGAACAAAAGAAAAAAATTTATAGAAGATTTTAACTTATCTTTGAGTTTTCGATGATTGGAACTCCGACATCCTCTTCTGGCAGAACTGCTCCCACGATTATGGAATTCATCGAAGTCAGTCGTCTCCTTTGTGTCCTTCGAGTTTCGTCCATGTTGATTTTTTCTTTTTCGCCCTCTGTATGCTGGCCTCTTGGAGTGGTAGTCGTCGGGTTGCTGTCTTTTCCGTTTTGCCCCTGGACGGCTGGTCTTGGCGTCCTCCGGTCTGGAATCGTGCTTGAATTTCTTCTGTTGGTGGTGGTCTTTTCGTTCCTCCTCCTGCTGTCTTTTCGTTCTCGGAACGGCGGCCTTGTTTGCTCCTGACTATCTGGCCCTGGAAGCGTTTTCCTCGATGCAGAATTTCTACTGCGATACGTTGTAACTGGTCTTTTCCTCTTTACCAAAGATTCTTTACGCGGCGGCGTTGCTTTCTTGTATTTCTTAAATGCTGGAGTCTGAACGTTTTCATTTTCGGTACCGTCGCATGACTTGTAGAAGGGCTAGGTTTCTCTTCAGTTCTCTGCTTCTTGGGTGGTGGAGCGGGTTTGGACTGATTACTTCTTTTGCTTTACCTTTAAGGTACAATACGACTCCCTTGATTTCCTGAATTACATAGGGACCTTCAAATTTTGGAGCTAACTTTGCAGTAAAATTGTCTGGGGCACTTGATAAAGAAAATTTCCGCTTCAACACTTTATCCCCAACTTTAAAATCTGCTTCACGGCGTTTTCTATCAGTATAATTTTTTCTGTCTATTTCTTGCCGTATCCGAGCTTTTAACCGCCTGGTCAATGAGTTTTTGCACATCTTTTTGTTTAAATTCTTGCTCTCTTTGTTGCACAAAGAATAATTTATCTAATGGCGTAATTAACTTCCGTCCTAAAAATAATTCTGCTGGAGTTTTTCCCGTAGTATCGTGATTTGCCGTTCTTAAAGCATAAGCTAACTCATTTATGTAGCCATCCCAGCGCTTGTGATGTGTGCTAACATAACTTCGAATTATTTTTACAATATTTTTATATAACTCTTTCTGCTATGTTTGCCTGTGGTCTATACGGAACCATTTTGATATGGCGTATGCCAAGTCCAGTGCAAATGTTTTCAAATATTTGGCTAACGAATTGTTTACCGTTATCGCTAATGACTTTTATCGGTGCACCGTATTTTAAAATGTATCTGTGTAAGAATGCATCTGCGACTGTTTTGGCTGACGCGCGTTTAAGTGGAACAATTTCTGTCCATTTTGAAAAATGATCTACAATTACTAAAAGAAAACGATTTTTATTTAACTCACTCTGGGGGAAAGGACCAAGAAGATCTATGCCTAAAATTTCATTCGGAAATGTAGCGCGAATGCTATTTAAGTACCCGGCCGGGCTGTAATTAATATCATTTATTAACTGACATTGATTGCAGGACCTGACATACGCAGTTACTATTTTGTATAATTGCGGGAAATATACCGCCTCGCGTACCCTTTTTAAAGTCTTTCTTTCTGACCCCTAAATGACCCGCTGTTTTCGCGTCGTGTAATTCCTTCAAAATGCTTAATCGAAGCGAGGCTGGGATGACTGGTTTGTATTCGAGAATTTTCGTTTGTTGTTTTCGTATAAAATAATAAATTATCTATTATTTCATAGTTTTCTGCTCTATTTCTTATCGCATCGATATCTGTGTGTTCAAAGCTTTCGGGGTCTTTCAAATATGCATAGATACTTCCAAATTCAGGATCAGCTTTCAATTCAGCAATAATTGTTTCTCTAGAATCTAAAATTTTTGAAGTCAACACAGCGCATTTGAGTTCATTTCCTTCATCGTCCAGTTTTATACGAGATAGTGCGTCAGCTACATTGTTTTCCTTACCCGGTTTATATTTAATTATGAGATTATATTCTTGAAGTTTTAAAGCCCATCTTATTAACCTGGGCGTTAGGTTTTTCCCCGAGTAAAGTCTACCAACAGCCGCATGATCCGAAAAGACTGTTACTGGCGCTTTGCCGAAATAAACTCGAAATTTGTGTACAGCCATTAATACGGCTAATGTTTCTCTCTCTGTAGCTGTATAATTCCTTTGTGTAGGGTTCAAAGTTTTACTAAAAAATGCCAAAGGATGGCCATTTTGCATGAGAACCGCACCTACACAGGCATAGTCCGACGCATCTGCTGCAATTTTCAAGTTTTCGTCCCCCTCCGGGAATTTCAAAACATGAGCATTGATGAGCGCTTCTTTTAACCTTTCAAATGCAGTATTTGCTTCTGCTGTCCACGTGAATTTAATTTTTCTTTCTTTTAATTACTAACAAGGGTTCAACAAGATTAGCAAAATCTTTTATGAACGACCGATAATAAGAACATAACCCAAGGAAAGAAGAACGTTTCTTGGCGGTGTTGGGAGGTGGGAAATTCTTGATGGCTTTTATTTTTGAATCCTGAGTTTCTATACCCTTTTGCGAAATTTTATAACCCAGATATTTAAGTTCTTTAGTTGCGAACTTGCATTTTGATGGCGTTAATTGTAAGACCGGCCTCTTTTAATAATTTAAAAACTTCTTCTAAGTCTTTAATATGTTGTTCCAACGTACTACTCGTTATAATTATATCATCTAGATAAATTAAAGTCGATTTTTCTAGGACAGGCTTTAGAACAATGTCCATAGCTCTCTGGAATGTTGACGGGGCACCACAAAACCAAAAGGCATGCGTAAAAATGCATAAGTGCCCGATTTTGTTATAAACGCGGTTTTATGTATGTCTTCGGGTCTCATAGCTATTTGATAGTAGCCAGACGTTAAGTCCAACGTAGTCATGTATCTCGTAGACTTAATCTTTCTAATAATTTCCTCTATAACCGGCAAAGGGTAAACTGGGAATTTAGTAACACTATTAAGCTTTTCTGTAATCGATAGCAAACCTCCAAGCCCTTTTATCCGAAGGAGGAAACTCATTCTTTTTCCTACATAGTACGACTGGACTCGCGTACTCACTATTTATGGGCGTTATTATTTGGTTCTTTAACATTTCCTGAATGTGTTCTTCGATGATTTGTTCTTTCTGTTTATCATAGCGGTAAGGTTTAGTCCTACAGGGTTTGTCGGCAGTTAACTGTATATCATGCGTAACAATTTGACAGTTACCAGGCCGTTCTGAAAACAAGTTTGAAAAAGTACTCACCACTTGCTGG